TAGACCAAGCGCCAGACCAAGCGCCAGACCAAGCGCCAGACCAAGCACCAGACCAAGCGCCAGACCAAGCACCAGACCAAGCACCAGACCAAGCACTAGACCAAGCACTAGACCAAGCACTAGACCAAGCACCAGACCAAGCACCAGACCAAGCGCCAGACCAAGCACAGTTCTGCTCTACGAATGGATCAAGTAGTGACCACATGAAATACCAAAAGTCGTGGTGTTTTGTCAGATTTAAAACTGCTTTGATTTGGCTTTGATACCTTTATTCCTGACCCTGGGGCTGCTCTGGTAATGACCAATTGTTAAGGCGTATTGTTACCTTACAGTTAATGAGTTGGTACAGTCCAATTATCCACAGCATCTGCAGCTAAACTACAGACATAATTAGCTCATTATTTCATGCTTATTTAAGGCAGTCCGTGGCGAACTCTTTTGTGAATGTGATCTAACCTGCTTCTTAACCTCACTCCTGTGTTCTCAATCTCTCCTCTCTCCGGCGAGCTCAATAATCCCCCCAAAAAATTTGCTCGAAATCAGATGAACGAGCGAAAAAAGAGAAAACATCAGCAGAAAACCGCATTATGTGGCGTTTGAAAGGCTGTGCTCGGGGCTCTGGCGGCACAGGTTAAGTGAAATGAATTGAAAACGCGACAGGGCCAATAATCGCAATGAACGGCGTGGATAATCCGGAGCCGGTGTGAAAAGGCGGGTTTAGTGGCGGTGGTGAGAGGGCTTAAGCGTGGGGGGGAATGGTGATTCACGAGGCAGAGGTGAGGCTTTGGACAAGGAGACTCTAGACCTGCACTATTGATCACAATCACATAGAAATCACAATTAGGAAATCGCTGACTACACGTTCTTTGCAACAACACAAAATTACCATTATTACTACAAACTAAGGATTTGTCAATGGAAGTATCTTTGGGCTTGTGGGCGGACGCATTATTTTCCCATATTTTTCATCATTTATATGACCCGTAAAAATGGAACTTATGCCTGACTGTAAGAATTTAGTGAGAAAATCTACAAACTTCATCATCCCAGTGTGTATACATACAGAACTTGGGAAGAAGACTGTGTATTGTCCACTGATTTATAAATACCTATATTTAAAAATGGCAGCCTCCCATTGACTCCCATTCTCTTGCTACTTGGAATTAGCATATCGATAATTGATAGTGAGACAACATATTGCTTTGAGCCCTTGTAGTAACAGTTAAAACACGACTTGGACCCCGCTTTTTATGGGTTAACTGTGAATTAGGGATGAAAGATAGTAAAATTTTTGGATTATTTGGAACCAATATAAATTTTTCTGCCGATAACCCATTTTCTTTGCAGTTTTCCCGCTCCATAAAAGAGCAGGTGTGTCATATATCTAACAGCGGACACATTTTCTCCTGCAAGGCGTAGGGATATTAAAATAGATGTGTCTGTTTGTCTGTTTTTCTGTGTTATATGGACTCTTTGTGTGTCTGAATTAAAGATTTAATAAAAATAAAATGGAATAGATGATTTAGTGGAGCTGAAGTTGGCTGGATGATTGCCTATTTTCTCAGTAGATAATGAATTCTAGAGGCCCTTTGCTTTAAAGTGAGGTAGAAACACAGGGTAAACTTTGTAGCCGGTACTGTATTATCCTAGAAAACCATCAATTCAAAGCTATGTATGTAACAATGCATTTTTTCCATTACCTAAAAACGGTTTTATATCGGCGTTTATGTTGATACAGAAATCGGTACCGGAACATCCCTAATATTTCACACTGAAGATTCAGGCTCTAGTACGGCAATGCAGAGCCACTTCTGACAGCACCGGTGCATTGTGGTATTTTGGGTATCGCGCCCTCTTCTTCCACGTTTTTTTAACACGGCGCCGCACACTGACACCTCTCATGTTCAGCTCGTGTTTTGTGGAGCCCAGCAGGTGTCTCTGTGCGCACTCCATCGGCTGCTTAATAATCCAAACAGAGAAAGAAAGAGGAGATTAGAGGGACAGCCGGAGAATGACAGAGTGGGGTGAAGCAGGCCGTGGGAGAGCACTGTTCAGTCACACATTAACCCCCAGACTCACATCAGCCACTGTTCAAGCAGAGAATGTGTCTCCGGTGTACAAAAAGGAAGCACTGCTAACGAAAGCGGCGCCAGAAACCATCTTCACTGAGAATAAGGGTCATTTAGATATTATTAGTCACGCTGAGAGAGGATATAAGTCAGGTGAGGACTCCTGATGTCTCATGTCACAGTTTGAAGTCCAGCCCCAAGAATTCAAAACAGTGACTCAGGTTGCATTGTGTATTGAGCAATAACAACAACTTAAGTACGCTACACAGTATAGTGTCGCACAGGTAAAGATGCACCTGTGCAAGACAAGATTATTTGAAATGTTTGGAGGACAAGTGCACATAATTTCTCACCATTATTAGTATTATTATTATTATAGATTGTTTATGTTATAGACAAGTCATCTACTAAGGACACTCTAACTCCTATTGCCACATACTGTTAATCTTGTGACTTGCTTCCACCAGAATGCAGCACGTACTGTAAACAAACTTTCACAAACAAAAAGGTCAATACTACTGTACTAGTCAGAACAAAAAAATAGTAGTTGTAGTAGTATAAAAGTATTAAAGAGGCTTTATGCTTTTCCAAATCCTTTAAAGGTGATGTTATTTATAGTTTGTGATTCATAAAAAGAAAACTTAGAATTTTTTGTTGTTGTGATTATACATGTATGTCTTCACCTTTTAGGACACACTCTTTAAATCAGGTAACACTGATACTGCGTGTTTATCTAAGCCCAGCCTTTTTCAGCGAGGTTGTGACTAAGGTATCATGATGCACAAGTCGCCCAGAGAGGACTTTAATGATTCTGAAACAAGTTGTTAATCAATCAGAGTCTGGAGTCTTCACACTCAGTCTATGCTGCTCCTATGGCCTCTCCTCTATGGCCTTTACCCTATGACCTCCTCCCTAAGGCCTCTCCCCTATGGCCTCTCCCATATGGCCTCTTCCCTATAGCCTCTACCCTATGGCCTCTACCCTATGGCCTCTACCCTATGGCCTCTACCCTATGGCCTCTTCCATATGGCCTCTTCTATATGGCCTCTACCCCATGGCCTCTTCCCTATGGCCTCTACCCTATGGCCTCTACCCTAGGGCCTCTACTCTATGGCCTCTTCCCTATGGCCTCTAGCCTATGGCCTCTACTCTATGGCCTCTTCCCTATGGCCTATTCCCTATGGCCTCTTCTATATGGCCTCTTCCCTATGGCCTCTACCCTATGGCCTCTACCCTATGGCCTCTACTCTATGGCCTCTTCCCTATGGCCTCTAGCCTATGGCCTCTACCCTATGGCCTCTACTCTATGGCCTCTTCCCTATGGCCTATTCCCTATGGCCTCTTTTATATGGCCTCTACCCTATGGCCTCTTCCCTATGGCCTCTTCCCTATGCCCTCTTCCATATGGCCTTTTCCCTAGGGCCTCTAACCTATGCCCTCTTCCATATGGCCTTTTCCCTAGGGCCTCTAACCTATGCCCTCTTCCCTATGTGTCTTGCATCTCAGTGACCGATATCTTCTGCCAGAGCTTCTTCCCTCTGGCAGAAGATATCGGTCACTGAGATGCAAGACATCTCGCTATGCTAACAGCTTCTTCCCACAGGCTGTTAGGTGCCTAAACAGAGCATTTTAATTTCTGCTTTTACCTGCTTTTAAACTGCTTTTGCCCCTGTATTGTTTTGTTGATCGGTGCCACAGTGTCAGCTGTTTTTTTTTTATTGTTTTATGTTCAGTGTATGTGTGTTTTGTATTGCATTGTGTCGTGTTTTTGTTCTGTCGGTGCACACGGAGTGCCTTTCTTGCGAATGTATTCCAATGTGGTTTTTTTAACTGCACATGGCCAAATAAATGAATCTTGATCTCTTGAATCTTGATCTATGGCCTCTTCTATATGGCCTCTTCCTTATGCCCTCCTCCATATGGCCTCTTCCCTATGGCTTCTTCCCAATGCCCTCTTCCATATGGCCTTTTCCCTATGGCCTCTTCCCTATGGCCTCTTCCCAATTCCCTCTTCCCTATGGCCTTTACCCTTTGACCTCTTCCCAATGGCCTCTTCTCTATGGCCTCTTCCACTCCACATCCTGCGGTTTGGACGTGAGACGTGTCAAAAGCAAAGAGGAAAGATGAGCTTGTTAGCGTCCCCGTTTTGATTGAATGTGAATGCGCGTCATTTTCACTATAATTTGCACTCACAGCCAATTAGTCCACAGACAGACGAACGAACTGATTTTTCAGGTTTTTCCCATTTTATATTTTACTAGTCATTTGTCAGACATTTATTTTGTGTCACGCTTAAAAATAATGATAGAAATGTATATGGCTTCTTTCATATTTCTAAACTAACATTTAGAACACAAGTTAAAAACAAATCTTTCTCGTGCAATGCCTAAGGTGTTTGTGCTGTGGGAAGTATACATTCCTGTAAGTCAGGGGTGTCCAAACATTTTAGTAAGAGGGCCACCAGACTAGTCCAGAGGCTGACGTCACGGACTGAAAATCTGTCTTGACTGGCATCGAGCTGTTCTGAGCTTTAAAATGATCTGGACAGAGCTGAAGTTGGCTGAATGACAATGTTTACCATCTCACCAGCTTCAGTAGCACCATTAACAGTGTGACGCAATCAAAAACCGTGTCAGTACAAATCAACAACTGACTTACATCTATAATGGCTGAGCTGAAGTTGGACTGAACAGTGCTCCATTAGATGTTAAAATCTTGGGAAATCTTGGTGTAACTTAGCAATGCGTCAAACCTCTCCACAACCCTATCCCTGACATCTCCGGCGTGCAAAAGATCAAAATGTATTAACACTTTTAAGAGGAACTGTATGTATATATGAATACGGGTTGTGCCAGTGTGGTCAAAGTTTAAAACCGGTGAATCCAGAGATTGATGTGATTTAAGTGATATTAGTGATATGCCTCCACCCACCTGTACGACGGAGTGCCCCAGCGGACTGTTCTCCTGCAGGTTGGCTTCGTAGTGGCTTTTCTCGAACTTTGGCGCGTTGTCGTTCTGGTCCGTGATGATTACCCTCAACAAGGCGCTGCTCTGTCGTTCTTCAGCGCCGCCGTCCACCACCAAAATGTTCATATCGTACGACTCCTTCACCTCGCGATCCAGGTTCCCCATCACCACCAGCTGCGGCACCTTCTCATCCGAATCCATGGCCACCTGCAGGCTGAAGAGTTGCTCGAAATCGTCTCTCGTGCTCAGAGTGTACCTTTCCACGCCGTTGACGCCCGAGTCTTTGTCGGTGGCCATAGGGATCGAGAACAAAGCTCCTACGTGCGTATTTTCAGGGATAGAAAGCGTCAAAACGGGCGAAGCGAACTGAGGGGTGTTGTCGTTGATGTCCAGAACTTCTATCCGTCCTTCTATCAACCTGGGCCCGGATCCGATGCCTTTCACCATGTCCGTGATGGAGACCTCGAACTCCAAGAAGCACTTGTCATCGTCAAAGAGATTGCGACAGTCTTTCAAGGTTTCGCGGTCGATGGGGATTTCCGTGGTGTAAATATCGCCGGTTTTGCCGTCCACGCGCAGATACGGCGCGCCCACTTCAAGTTTGTAAAGATGGCCGCTGTCGGGAAGGCCCTGGTCGGACGCCAAGCTGCCGATCAGGGAGTTGGGAGGCTGCTCTTCCGGGACGCGGTACAAGATGTCGGTCGGAGCGGCGGAACTGTGAGTCCAAAACAACATGGCGGATAAGAGGAGGAGGAGGAGGGGGAGGTGGTGAAGGGAGGAGGCAGCCATGGCTCTGTCCATCTGCACTCTGGAAGACAAGAACAGAGGAGAAGGACACGTTAAAGAGGTGGGATTTTGACTTTTTGACGAAAATGTCATGGAGTAAGTCGTCGGTTTGTAGGGAGTTGACCAAAAAAGTAAAAAGTAAAGAGACAGTATAAAAGTTAGCAAACTGTTAGCAAATGACGCCAGTGGGTATAGAGTTGGGTATCTCTTTGAGTTTGCCAGTATGACACACATAAGGACAATTTGTATTTGACTTGACACAAAATATTTCCAAACATTTCATTACAATTCAGTTTGAATGAAGATTGATTGTTACAGAAACGCTTTCTTAGCCTAATGCTTCTGTTTGCAACATCAATACATTATAATATTGTCATTACGAAAAAGTACGGGAAAAAAAATATTGAAAGAAATATTGATTTTAGAAAATAGTACATATATTTGTACAAACGTGGTCACATCAAATGCCCTGCAGGCTCTGCTCAGATCAAGGCATCGGGCACTAATGTATAAAAGCCAAATCCAAACACTAAAACCATGACTTAACTATTGACTATTTAAGTCAGCCTTGCGGGCAAAAACACAAAGTCATCATTGAGGCACTTTCACGGTGTCATCTAACCAACTTCAGCTCCACTAAAAAAGTCATGCTATACCTTGTTGTAAATGTCAGACCCTTTGGAATGCAGTCGTTGACTTTATTGTCACAACATTCCAAATAAAATGCAGCTGTGGTGTGAATCAAAAAGGGCGTATCATACATTTTAATTCAAGAATTCAGTCTATCCAGCTTGAATCCAGTTTTTAAATCCAGATCGTCGGCCCCAGGTCAAGTCTGGTGAACTAAAGTGGCCCTCTTACTAAAAAGTTTGATTTAATTTGTCAAACAAAATGATAATTGTTCTGTCAGTGTGGAGACAATACCGACTCCGGAGGAAACAAAGAGAGCAGAAACTCCACGTACAAAAACACATCTGTACATTTCGCATGAGGCATTATGAACTACTTGTATTCTCTCAAGCAGGATTTATGTCTAATTTATATTTTCTCGCCAAAAGGAACATGACTTTCCTCCATAACGCACACGTCCTTCACCACCTGATCCTTGTTTGTGTTGTTCGTGTGTGTGAAAAAAGTCAGCCACAAAACCACAGCATCCTCGTCTGTTTGCGCTTCATTCCCTTTATAGGTCGAGCCGGGCTTTGCACCTTGAAGTGCAGCAGACTGTGAGATCTTAGGCCCACCTGATGTCTGCCTCCCCCGGGCCCTGGGGCACATATGTACAGCAGGGGTCCCAACTGGTGGCTCCGGTCCCTACATGTGGGTCAAGGGGAGGTCTGGCTGCCATGGTCATCTTACAGCGCACAATACAGGAGGTTCAAACATGTAGCATTGAAACTGCTTTTGGGATTGTTTACGGTTAATTTAAAGGAGACCTATTATGTATATATGATAAAAATAATACAAATAATAATAATAATAATAATGCGGTGGGATTAAATAAATTCTGTCTTTTCTACTCCCGACCCTATAACCCAAACCCTTTTTTGTATTTTGTTAATGATAATAGCAACTGTGCTGCTCCTGTGTTTGCCTGAAAGAAAAAAAATAATAATAATGCATTGGTTTTAAATTGTGCTTTTTTGGACATGTCATTATTAATTCACTTCATACTAAGTTGTGATAAACTACTACTGTAGCCACAGCTGCCCTGGGGCATACTGACAGAAGCAAGGCCACATCCCAGTACTAACCAGGCCCTGTCCTGCTTAGCTTCAGAGGTCTACATGATCTGGCTTTTCACCTGCAGGTATGGCCACCCAGACCCTGAGTTGTTTGTAGCTCCATTCAGGAACACATCCCCCCATCCCTTCTGCCAAAATGCTGCATGATCAAACTTTGTAAAAATTCCTCAGACTATGATGTCCAAGAGCTGTTTTTTTTTTTCATTTAAGACACAAGTGAAATTAGAGCAAACTTGAGCCAGAAACTTCTTCTATCATTTATGTCTAGTAGTGGGGGATAGTTAGATAGATAGATTGAGAGATAGATGGATAGATAGGGAGATAGATAGATGGATAGAAATGTATTTGGGAGATAGATAGATAGAAATACAGGTATATAGATAGAAAGGGACATGGATAGATAGATAGATGTATAGGTGGGTAGATAGATAGAGAGATAGATACTTTATTGACCCCCATAGGAAAGAAATCTAGTACATAATAAAAGCTTTCGTGCGACACAGAAATCACGTAATAATATCAAATACGGGCCTTAATCTGGTGAATGCCACAGTCAAATGTGATTAAATATCAGACATAGTTGATTGGAAATAGAGATGAGGAGTGAGTAAAATGCAACCCAAAAAAGGCAGCTTGCTCCATCAAATACTAATACACGGTGCGAGTCATTCAAGGTAAGCGCCGGCGGTCTCCGAAGCTTCTGAAGAATGAGAGGTGGTAAATTCCAAATGGCACGTCGCTCCAGGGCTTTTTTTCTTCCCTAATTCATTGCCTGTAATAATTTAGAAAAATTGTTGAAATTTTAATGGTGAAAAATGTTTAATTTCGCCTTCTCAATGTCAGCTCCGCCGCGAGTCTGGGGCTTTTCATTTAGAACAGTGTCAGAAACTTTGCACGGAAATGAAATAGTTGGAAATCAAACGGTATTGGGTTTGATGGAAAGCTGAATATTCATAACAGTGTAAAAGTGCAACAGTTGTAGTAGTGGCTGCAGTAGTAATAAAAGTATTTGGAGTTACTTATGTCGTCTGGGTACAGAAAAATTAGCTTAAATCAGAAAGATTTTGCACTTTCTTTTTGGCTGGAGCAGAGGTCTCCAACCTTTTTTTAGTTTGGAGAGCTATTTTTATGAAACCAAAATGGCAGAGAGCTACTCAAGTCATAATGAAATGTATGTACAGCCGCGGTCTCCAACCTATAATCAGGAAGCTACCAGTAGCTCGCCACCCCTTTGCAAGGAGCTCCCCAAAGGATTTAGAAAGATAATATGAATATTCAAAAACGTATGATTCAATAACACACAACTGTTGTTAATGCAAATAAAAGCTGTAATAAATGAATGACAATTTATTGTAACGTGACCTACACTGCAAAAAATAAGGTAATAGATTCTTGCATAAAGTGTTTTTCTTGTAATTTGAGCACATTTTGACTGTCTAAAAACAAGACTTGCAAACGGGGGAAGCAAAAATTCTTGTCTTGTGGTCTTGTTTTAAAAAGATACAAGAAAATTCTCCTTGGAGTGAGAAATAAATTGCTTAGAATGGCTTAGAATATACTCAAATTAAGATAAAAACCCTAAACTCAAGTACTTATTAACTTATATTTTTCCACAGGACTGGGACTGGACAGTTGCTGGACCATGACCTGTGACACCCACAGACTGCAGCCGGTCCTGATCCTGATCCGACAGTAAACATGGGCGTGTCGTTGACAGAGGCGTCCGTGCGCTCAGCTCCGGAGGCAGAATCTGACCCCAGACCAGCAGGAGTCCACAGCTCACATTACCGGAAAAACTCCCTGACAGGAGCCTGAACCGGGAATTTTCTGAACTACATTTTCTTTGGCTACAATTAGGGCTCGCAGTCTTAAATATGCAGTCTTCAGAACGGGGTATTTTCAGCAATGACTATTTTAGAAGCAAAGCGACTCATTTCCATTGTTGTGCTGTGGTAGTTCTTAGCAGCGACGTAAATATTCAGAGATTGTTGTTGGACGTAGAACTGTATAAATATAAAAGAATGTCTGTAACGAGAAACATATATTTAATCTATCTCAAGATAATAATAGTAATAGTAATATAAGCGGCAGAAATTAAATTTAATTAAGGTTTTGTTTGGAAAATTCTTATTTGAGAGTTTGTGTGTGTGTGTGTTGTGTGTGCGAGTGTGAGAGAGTTTGTGTGTGTGTTGTGTGTGCAAGTGTGAGAGAGTTTGTGTGTGTGTTGTGTGTGCGAGTATGAGAGAGTTTGTGTGTGTGTTGTGTGTGCAAGAGTGAGAGTTTGTGTGTGTGTTGTGTGTGCGAGTGTGAGAGAGTTTGTGTGTGTGTTGTGTGTGCGAGTGTGAGAGAGTTTTGTGTGTGTGTTGTGTGTGAGAGAGTTTGTGTGTGTGTTGTGTGTGTGAGTGTGAGAGAGTTTGTGTGTGTGTGTGCGAGTATGAGAGAGTTTGTGTGTGTGTGTGTGTGTGTGCGAGTGTGAGAGAGTTTGTGTGTGTGTTGTGTGTGCGAGTGTGAGAGAGTTTGTGTGTGTGTTGTGTGTGCGAGTGTGAGAGAGTTTGTGTGTGTGTTGTGTGTGCGAGTGTGAGAGAGTTTGTGTGTGTGTGTGCGAGTGTGAGAGAGTTTGTGTGTGTGTTGTGTGTGTGCGAGTGTGAGAGAGTTTGTGTGTGTGTGTTGTGTGTGCGAGTGTGAGAGAGTTTGTGTGTGTGTTGTGTGTGCGAGTGTGAGAGAGTTTGTGTGTGTGTTGTGTGTGCGAGTGTGAGAGAGTTTGTGTGTGTGTTGTGTGTGCGAGTGTGAGAGAGTTTGTGTGTGTGTGTGTGTGCGAGTGTGAGAGAGTTTGTGTGTGCGAGTGTGAGAGAGTTTGTGTGTGTGTGTGTGAGTATGAGAGAGTTTGTGTGTGTGTGTGTGTGTGTGCGAGTGTGAGAGAGTTTGTGTGTTGTGTGTGCGAGTGTGAGAGAGTTTGTGTGTGTGTGTGTGTGTGCGAGTGTGAGAGAGTTTGTGTGTGTGTTGTGTGTGCGAGTGTGAGAGAGTTTGTGTGTGTGTGTGTGTGTGTGCGAGTGTGAGAGAGTTTGTGTGTGTGTGTGTGTGCGAGTGTGAGAGAGTTTGCGTGTGTGTTGTGTGTGCGAGTGTGAGAGAGTTTGTGTGTTGTGTGTGCAAGTGTGAGACAGTTTGTGTGTGTGTGTGTGTGCGCAAGTGCGAGAGAGTTTGTGTGTGTGTGTTATGTGTGCGAGTGTATCTCTGTATTTGTGTGTGTGCGAGTCTGCATGTATGTGTGTCTGTGTGTAGGCAAGAGTGTGAGCGTGTCCTGGTTAATATTCACTCCCGCAGCTCCCCAAACCAACACACTCTTTGGACTCTCGGAGACACTCAAGTCTCGTCGTTTTTTGGGAAAACGACTCCAACAGAACCTTTGTTTTGTCCCGAACCAGACGGGACAAGTTTAAGGAGCTTTTCTTTAACTTTAAACAATAATTTTATTCACTCTTTCACAACGTCACAAAAGTGTTCCTCGAAAACAAACTATTCAGAACCTATGGCAAGAATGGACACACACACCTCCTCCCGCCCCTTCTGTTTAAACGCTCCGGTTTCAAACTCATTACACTCACACACTATTACCCCGCATCTTATTCCAAAAAATGCAACTTTTTACAGGAGGAATTGTCTTAAAATGTTTTGTGCAGGTTAGAAATAAATATATTGTCCCATGACTTTCTATTGTTATTATTCATTGTCTACTATGAGATGATTCTACCTCGTCTAGAAATACATTGAAAAGATATCTACCTATCTGGCTATATTTTTATAACTAATTTTGTTCAGTAAATGTACCAGAATAGAAAAATCCAAACTCAAATAAAAGTAGTTTAAATTTGCCAAAATTCCTTGTAATATATGCTACTGTTGTGAATTTAATTTACTTAAAGGTTAATTATGATTTGTACATGCCGACCTGTTATCTGGGCACACATATCAAAGGTGTAGCTGTAATTTCAAATGAAAATAGTACATTTCATTTCATTTCATTTATTTATTTATTTGAACAGGGACAGTTTACAATATACATTAACCTCAGAAAGGAGAGATGCATTGTACCAGGTTGTAGCACTTGTGCTAATTTCCACCTGCAGTCCCTGGGCAGACTGATGTCAACATACAAAGTTTTAGAAAATTACACATGTTAAAAATACATTTCCCCCTAAACAGCATTAAAATGAAACAAATTTACACTACTTTATGGGAACAGGTTTGTTTTAAAAGAAGCCATTTTTTGGCCTGGTGTGAAAAAGTGTTAAAATGTACACATGTGGTCAGCTCTGTTGGCAACATATTCCACTGTCTGATGGCCACACTGGAGAAGGCTGAGCTGCCGAACGCTGTTTTACACTGAGGAATCCTACACTCGCCCCGAACAGTCGACCGAGTGGCTCGAGATGAAATTTCTGAGCTCAGTGAAATAAACTTTTTTAATGGAGGAGCTGCAGTACCATTAATTATCTTGAACAACAGACAGAGATTTTAATATATGATTATATTTTCAAAACTTAATATACTATGCTTTTTAAGAATATGACAGTGCTGATAGAGCCGAGATTTCTTGTCATGAACCTTAAGA